ATTTGAACAGCTATAACGTTTACAACACAATATATTCTGTACCGTTCCTGTGAATAGTTATTAGTATTTAAACAGATATAACGTTTACAACACAATATATTTTGTACCGTTCCTGTGAATAGTTATTAGTATTTAAACAGCTATAAAGTTTACAACACAATATATTCTGTACCGTTCCTGTGAATAGTTATTAGTATTTAAACAGCTATAACGTTTACAACACAATATATTTTGTACCGTTCCTGTGAATAGTTATTAGTATTTAAACAGCTATAAAGTTTACAACACAATATATTCTGTACCGTTCCTGTGAATAGTTATTAGTATTTGAACAGCTATAAAGTTTACAACACAATATATTCTGTACCGTTCCTGTGAACAGTTATTAGTATTTAAACAGCTATAACGTTTACAACACAATATATTCTGTACCGTTCCTGTGAATAGTTATTAGTATTTAAACAGCTATAAAGTTTACAACACAATATATTCTGTACCGTTCCTGTGAATAGTTATTAGTATTTAAACAGCTATAACGTTTACAACACAATATATTTTGTACCGTTCCTGTGAATAGTTATTAGTATTTGAACAGCTATAACGTTTACAACACAATATATTTTGTACCGTTCCTGTGCATGGTTATTAGTTATTATTAGTTAACTAAACATTTATCTAAAGTTATTTGTTGTGTTTAATTACATTACATGTGCAGAAAAACTAAACGCTTATCTGAAGTTATTTGTCGTCTTTAGTAATATTACATGGGTAGAATAACTAAACACTTATCTAAAGTTGTTTGTCCTCTTTATTAACATTACATGAGTAGAATAACTATACACTTATCTAAAGTTGTTTGTTGTCTTCAATGACATTACAGGCCCGGCTGGCCAGGTAGTTAAGGCACTCGACTCTCAATCTAAGGGTCGTGGGTTCGAATCCACGTCACACCAAACATGCTCGCCCTTTCAGCCGTGGGGACGTTATAATGTGACGGTCAATCCCACTATTCGTTGGTAAAAGAGTAGCCCAAGAGTTGGCGGTGGGTTGTGATGACTAGCTGCCTTCCCTCTAGTCTTACACTGCTAAATTATCTAAAGTTATTTGACGTTTTCAATAATATTACATGGTAAAATAACTGAACACTTATCTGAAGTGTTGTCGTCTTTAATAACATTACATGAATAGAATAACTAAACACTTATGTAAAGTTGTTTGTCGTCTTTAATTTCATTACATTTGCAGAATAACTAAACACTTATCTAAAATTGGTTGTTGTCTTCAATAACATTACATGGGTAGAATAACTAAACACTCATATAAAGTCGTTTGTCGTTTTTAATAACATTACATGGGTGGAATAACTAAACACTCATCTAAAGTCGTTTGTCGTTTTTAATAACATTACATGTGTAGAATAACTAAACTATTATCTAGAGTTGTTTCTCGTTATAAATATCTTTATATGGTAGAATAACTAAACACTTATCTGAGAATTTGTCGTCTTTAATAACATTACATGAATAGAATAACTTAACACTTATCTAAAGTTGTTTGTCGTCTTTAATTTCATTTCATTTGCAGAATAACTAAACACTTATCTAAAGTTATTTTTCGTCTTTAATAACATTACATTGTAGGATATTTAAACACCTATCTAAAGTTGTTTGTCGCCTTTAGTAACATTACATTGTAGAATATTTAAACACTTATCTAAAGTTGTTTGTCGCCTTCAATAACATTACATGTGCAGAATAACTAAACACTATCTAAAGTTATTTGTCGTTTTCATTAACATCACGTGGCAGAATAACTAAACTCTTATCTAAAGTTGTTTGTCCTCTTTAATTACACTACATTTTAGAATAACTAAATACTTTTCTACGGTTGTTTGTCGTCTTTAGTAACATTACATTGTAGAATATTTAAAAACATATCTAAAGTTGTTTGTCGTCTTTATTAACATTAAATGAGTAGAATAACTAAAAACTTATCTAAAGTTGTTTGTCGTTTTTAATAACATTACTTGAGTGGAATAACTAAACTCTTATCTAGAGTTGTTTCTCGTTATGAATAACTTCATATGGTAGAGAAACTAAACACTTATCTAAAGTTATTAGACGTTTTGAATAACATGACATGGTAGAAAAACTAAACACTTATCTGAAGTTTTGTCGTCTTTAATAACATTACATGAATAGAAAAACTAAACACTTATCAAAAGTTGTTTGTCGTCTTTAATTATATTACATTTTAGAATAACTAAATACTTTTCTAAAGAGTTTTGTCCTTTGTAATAACATTACATGAGTATAATAACCAAACACTTATCTAAATTTGTTTGTCCTTTTCAATAATTGTGCATGGGTAGAATAACTAAACACTTATCTAAAGTTATTTGTCGTTTTCATTAACATCACGTGGCAGAATAACTAAACTCCTATCTAAAGTTGCTTGTCGTCTTTAATTACACTACTAATTATAATAACTAAATACTTGTCTACGGTTGTTTGTCGTCTTGAATAATATTACATGTGTAGAATAACTAAACATTTATCTAAAGTTATTTGTCGTGTTTAATAATTTTACATGGGTAGAATAACTAAACACTTATCTAAAGTTGTTTGTCCTCTTTAATAACAATACATGGTAAAATAACTAAACACTTATCTAAAGTTGTTTGTCCTCTTTAATAACTGTACATGGGTAGAATAACTAAACACTTATCTAAAGTTGTTTTTTATCTTCAATAACATTACATTGTAGAATATTTAAAAACTTATCTAAAGTTGTTTGTTGTCTTCGATAACATTACATGGGTAGAATAACTAAACACTTATCTAAAGTTGTTTGTCCTCTTTAATGACTGTACATGGTAGAATAACTAAACACTTATCTAAAGTTTTTGTCGTATTTAATTACATTACATATGCAGAATAAATAAACGTTTATCTAAAGTTATTTGTCATCTTTAGTCACATTACATTGTAGAATATTTAAACACTTATCTAAAGTTGTTTCTCTTCTTTAATAACATTACATGAGTAGAATAACTAACCACTTATCTAAAGTTATTTTTCGTCTTTAATAACATTACATCGTAGAATAACTAAAAACTTATCTAAAGTTGTTTGTCGTCTTTAATAACATTACATCGTAGAATAACTAAAAACGTATCTAAAGTTGTTTGTCGTCTTTAATAACATTACATTGGTTTTATAAATAAACACTTATTTAAATTTGTTTGTTGTCTTTAATAACATTACATTATTAGAATAACTAAACACTTGTCTAAAGTTGTTTGTCGTCTTTAATAACATTACATCAGTAGAATAACTAAACACTTATCTACGGTTGTTTGTCGTCTTTAATAACATTACATTATAAGAATAACTAAACACTTGTCTAAAGTTGTTTGTCGTTTTTAATAACATTATATGGTAGAATAACTAAACACTTATCTACGGTTGTTTGTCGTCTTTAATAACATTACATGGGTAGAATAACTAAACGCTTATCTAAAGTTGTTTGTCGTCTTTAATAACATTACATCAGTAGACTTGTCTAAAGTTGTTTGTCGTTTTTAATAACATTATATGGTAGAATAACTAAACACTTATCTACGGTTGTTTGTCGTCTTTAATAACATTACATGGGTAGAATAACTAAACACTTATCTAAAGTTGTTTGTCGTCTTTAATAACATTACATTGGTTTAATAACTAAACACTTATTTAAATTTGTTTGTCGTCTTCAATAACATTACATGAGTAGAATAACTAAACGCTTATCTAGAGTTGTTTGTCGTCTTTAATAACATTACATCGGTAAAATAACGAAACTTTTATCTAAAGTTAGTTGTCGTCTTTAATAACATTACATGAGTAGAATAACTAAACTCTTATCTAAAGTTATTTGTCGTCTTTAATGACATTAGATGAGTAGAATAACTAAACACTTATCTAAAGTTATTTGTCGTTTTTAATAACATTACATTATTAGAATAACTAAACACTTATCTAAAGTTGTTTGCCGTTTTTGATAACATTACATGGGTTTAATAACTAAACACTTATATAAATTTGTTTGTCGTCCTAAATAACATTATATTGTAGAATAACAAAACATTTATCTAAAGTTATTTGTCGCCCCTAATAACATTACCTTAGTAGAATAAATAACAATTATCTAAAGTTGTTTTACGTCTTTAATAACATTACATAAGTAGAATAGCTAAACAGTTATCTAAAATTTTTTATCGTCTTCAAAAAACATTCTGAAATTGTGCAACTGTTTTACCTAGTGTTTTACCTATTAAAATAAATCACTTTTATTGTTCATTTTAAAGTTTCATTTTTATATAATACAGTTTTAAATTATTGTCGAAACCTAATTACGTCAAATATCACAAAAAATATTTAATTTTTGTTGTTTTTCACCATGAGAGAAGTAAATTACTACAATAATCTTTTGGCGTAAAGTTTGTGATAAAAATCACGTAACAGCTGTTTTTTAAGTTAATTTTTTTACGCTTTACTATTTATTTGTCTTTCTCGGCTTCAAAATGGGTAGCAGGTAAAAATAATATTTCAAATCTATCTTTTGTCTCTCATATGTCAGTAACCCAACAGGATTTTCGTTAAATACGAGAACTCGTTAGTTGGGCCGGACGATTGGAGATAAAGCATTCTGCGAGACGCTGTTTATATATACAGTTTAATGCTTTAAAAATTACAGTGGTAATTTGTTTACTTTCAGGACCATTGGTCGGTTTATTGACTCATCTCCTCACCATTCGTGTTATCATTTTAACTGGTTCAGTTGTGTCTTCTAGTGCCGTTGCTCTTTGTTATTTCGCGACTGATATTAATCACGTAATTCTTCTTCTTGGAGGCTTACAAGGTAAGACATATATGTTACTTGAAGGTTTAGTAGGTGAGATATATCTGTTACTTGGAGATTTAGAATGTAAGACATATCTGTTACTTGCAGTTTTATTAAGTAAGACATATCTGTTACTTGGAGGTTTAGAAGGTAAGACATATCTGTTACTTGGAGGTTTAGAAGGTAAGACATATCTGTTACTTGGAGGTTTAGTAGGTAAGACATATCTGTTATTTGGAGGTTTAGTAGGTAAGACATATCTGTTACTTTGAGGTTTACAAGTTAAGACATATCTGTTACTTGCAGGTTTAGTAAGTAAGACATATCTGTTACTTGGAGGTTTACAAGGTAAGACATATATGTTACTTGGAGGTTTAGTAGGTAAGACATATCTGTTACTTTGAGGTTTACAAGTTAAGACATATCTGTTACTTGCAGGTTTAGTAAGTAAGACATATCTGTTCCTTGGAGGTTTAGTAGGTAAGACATATCTGTTACTTTGAGGTTTACAAGGTAAGCCATATCTGTTCCTTGGAGGTTTAGTAGGTAAGACATATCTGTTACTTT